TGTCACTGTCTCTTGACAAAGAATTGGCCATTGGGATATTATCAAAGTGGTGAAGTGTTATGCGTGTGTGTAAACAATGCAACAAAATAGTAAGTTATAGGCACGAATATTTATGAAAGCCCTTTCTTTTACTGCTAATTTAAAAGGAGTGCATATGCAATATTTTGTCTTATGATAATTAAAAGTCGAGGAGTGATAGAGACATGATCAAAAGGACAAAAAAGAATGAAATATTAAATTTTGGTTTTTTAATCTGCAACAATTCTTGAGCATTCCCTACATTTGTACGATAAGTAATAGGCAAAACAGTGAAAAGTTTTACGCCCAAAAACTGTCATTCATACGCATAACTACAATTATTGACTTTGCATCTGTTACAACAACTTTTGGCTGTTGTCACATATATCAAAGATGTTGTAGTGATATGTGAAGAAAAAGTAGAAAGGGGGAGTTGGGTTGGGACATCAAATCATGGTAAGGTGCTTTATTTGTTGAATGATGTAGGGTTGTTTGTTTGTACATGGAGGGTATTCAATAATTTTAAACCTAATACTTGTGTTCGAATATTTGGAAAATGGGAGAGGTGTGAGAATCGTCTTGTTTACTGGATTGAAATATGCATATTGAGCGAAGGGGTTATAAAAGAAGGGAGAGATCAAGAGGGATTCAGAAATAATGCAAGAGTGAGGTAGAAGAAGTGGTTGAGATGTTTTTAAAGAACAAGAGGTCAGAGTGGTTGGATCCATTCTCGTGCATTTCCATCTCTCTCTCTCTCTCTCTCTCTCTCTCTCTCTCTCTCTCTCTCTCTCTCTCTCTCTCTCTCTCTCTCTCTCTCTCTGTCGCGCTCGCGCTGAATCTGTCATATTCACACTCCATTCATCATCACAAAGCTTGTGGTTCTCCTTCTTCACTTACACAACACACCCAAATTAAACCACCTCCTCTATGGCAATAAATACCCATTTCACTTGCCCAATAAAACCTAATCCCATGGGCAAAACTCTGAAGCGTATCTTATCACCCTTCCCGGTGTTCAAATCTCATTAGTAAATTTAAATTTTGTTCATGAATAATTCGGGGTGACATTGTGATAAATGTTATATATCAAAGAGGTGGTTCTGATTTCAATTAATCCAAATCTTTATTGTAGCAACACTGTACTATAAGAAAAGATAGAAACACATGTTAAGTGGGCCTTGCATAGTGGGGAGTCAAGATCTTGAATTAGGTGTAAAATAATTTAATAAAATTTAAATTTTTTAAAAATAATAACTATGCTAAAACTAAAATTATAATAGCATAAATAGTTTTATTATCATTTTTTATTTTAAAAAATTTATATTGAACAGATTGATATGGTCTTTTATTATAAATATATATCTTATATAATATTAAAATATTATATATCTACTAAATTTTTAAATCATAAATATTTTTTATTTAATTTAAAAAGTGTAAAATATTATAGTAGAGGATGTGAAGTTATAAATTTTATATACCTCATTTATATTTTTTTTTCAAAGTGTGGTGCATCCCCTCAAATCAATGTGGCCCCGCCATTGCCCTTGCATGTGTTGGAGGCCTCGCGTTAGCTACTGCTATGTTTAGTTGTTTGCTAACATGATACCGTGCGATTAAAGCTTGAATTGCATAATATTTACTAATATTCATTTGACAAGCAACAATAATATAATCCCCAACAATGCAACAAACAGTGATAACATTGTGAGAAAAAAATATTAATACCAGTTGAGTGGCCCCACTTACAAATAATGTCCAATTTCAATGTGCAGTTTTTTAATGTGAAAATATAAGCGATTCAGTAGTCTGTATTGAATTGACGCATAAAGATGTACAATTTTCAATGAATAATGTGTGAATGGATCTATAGACAGAAGGGCACCATATCGCTTGGAGTCACCGGCACAAAGTGATATTCTTTATTGAATAATTGGACTTTGGTTAGTATATATAATAAATTAATAAATGATTTGGTGGAGATGCTAACTGCTTTTTCTCTGTTAATACTATAGTATTCTGTTGACTTTCCTCAAGGAATCAGATTGAATCCAATGCCATTTCTCACGATCATCAAAGTAAAAGTCTAAAAATCAAGAAAGCAGACAGAACACGTGTTAATAATTCTCACATATATTTTTCTCTCCTTAATAATTGAATATTTATGTGCCACCCATGTATAAAATCTATTGTAATAAAACATGACAATTTGTGTATGATCACCGCTCATTTTACGTTCTTAATAGATTTTGCGTGTAAATTTTGTTAGTTTGCATGTTAAGAGGATAATATTGCATTTTATAATCTTATCTTCTTTGTCTTTTTGGAAATATATTGTCCCAGTAAACAGTAAATCAACGTGAACACATTTTATTTTCTTGATAGGCTATATCACTTCAAAATGAGTTATCCAAATAATTAACGTTTTATATATTGGCGTTGACAATATCGATATATTTTAATTTTAAAACATGTGTATAATTATATTAATGCTACTTCCTCCAATCTCATTTATAAAATACATGTTAAAAAATCTATTTGATGTTATTTATAAGTCATGATATACTTTTTTAAGTAATATTTAAAATATACTTTTTAAAATTATTTTTATAAAAGAAAAAAGTTATACGACATTATTTTTAAATTTATTATATAAAAGTATATTTAAAAATTTATATATTTTTATTTTTTAATTTTAATATTGATAAAATTAATATAAATGACTCGTAAAAAAATAAAATGAGTATAGATATCATGAATCTTTTTGACCTATTTAGACATCGTGAATAGGACCTTCAAATTTCAATATTCGTACATAGTCCAAGGGAAAGACAAACCATAAAAGATAAAAATTCAGGAACATTTTGACCTTTTCTGTTATTTTTTATTTAAGTTACACAGGGACACTCATTTATCGAGATTTGTCATTGAAGAGAAATTCAAATTTTAAAAACGAGAGACTTGCATTTGACTTTATGTCAGTGTAAAGGAACTAAAAGAATAAGAGGCGGGGGCAGTCGAGTCATTTCGCGCGAATTTGAATTGAGATGCAAATTCAAAAGCAAATAGATGGTGGAGGATGGTGATTTGACGCCTCTCATGCGCATTGATGTGCTTGGTTGACCACAACCGAGAGAGCCTTCTCCCAAAAAAAAAAAAAAAAAAAAACCCTCGTTTAATTTTATCCGATCAAAGTAACCAATCTCATCTGAACGTTGGAACATCATGGTGATGAGCGCTCTCTAAAATCTGGACGATCCGCATTCATAAGTTTTATTTTATTTTTTTATAATTATTAAAATATAAATTATAAAAAATTAATAAATTTATTTTATCATTCACCTGCACAATATAAATAATCTTATAATTCAGTTTAATATTAAAAGTATTTAAAAATTTTATTTTAATAAATAAAAAATAAAATAAAATATGTCAATCAGGATCATCTAGATTAAAAATTTGAACAGTTCAAATTACTCATTTTGATGAGTACTAAAACGAATTCCTGTCCCAACATGTTACACTCCCCACTTGCAAATGGAAACGCAATCAACACTTGGATTAGATATTATTTCTTGAGATTGATTTATTGGGAACACAGGCACGTTATTTTTTCGTTGGGTTTAATCTTCTTTCCAATCACTCTGATAAAGCTATTAAAGATGTTCAATCTTCAAATAAAACATTGTAAAATAAATAGATACATGAGTCATATTCTTATAATACTTGTTTACTCTCTTTATTAAAAAATATAAATATTGTTTGAGAAGTTAGATATTAAAAAAATAAAAAAAGTTAATCTTTTAAATATAATTATTACTTTTTTTAAAAACGCTCTTGATAAATAAATTATTTTATATTTATTTTAAAATAAATCATCTTATTAAGCAGGAGTGAATATAAAAAAATTATTAATTTAAAAATAAATAAATATTTTATTAAAAATAATATTTCGTTAAAAATGTCATAATATTTTTAAGGGAGGAAAGTAGTATAATTGAATAAAAAGCGTGGTGTGAGACGTGGCATGCAAAGCTTAGGAAGCAAGTAAATGTGAAATGGGGAGGCAGTATTAATGAGGGCACAGAAATACGTGCTACCGTGTAGCCAGCTATGCCGAGGGAAAACTATTAACACTCAGAGCAATATCAAAAAAAGAGGCTGCTGTCATAAATATGTTCTCAATACACCAACCTCAACCCCTATATTCTGAGGTGGTTAGTATTTAGTTTCATTTATTGTCTGTGTTCTGGTATTATTATTGGCGAAAACAACGTAGTTCCTCACAAAACTCCAAGAAAACAGTTCGAGAAATGACGAATGTGTACGCTCATCTTACTAATAGTATACTATAATGCGCCTGAGATACGCCCCTCTGCTAACGTGAATCAGTGAATCAGCGGAAGCTTCATGGTAGGTTGTCCTTTAACCATCATTATCATGTTTGTTGTCCTCATGGCTTGCCTTTAAATCCTTATTTTCACCAATTAATTACTCTCTTTAGTTCTTATTGCAAGGCCTGTGATTGAACCACTTCGCACAAATGAGTGCCAGTCTTCTAGAGTAGTCTTGCCTTGAAGTAGTTTTTTCTTTTTAAGTAATTTTAAAACTTTTATATATTACCAAGCACGTGGTAATCTTATGCTGTTACGATGTAATAAGAGCGTTTCCGAATTCAGGACTCAGGAGTCACAGCCAATCTAACGGAAGAGTCTGGGCTGAGCCCCAGAGGTCAGATAATAGGAGGCTGCACAACGGTGCGTTTCAGTGCTTCGGTTGAAACAAGGAAAGAAATGTGGTGAGTAGGTATTGTCAATTATTAATTAAAGTAATTACAGGAAAAAAACACTCTTTTAGTACCACTGACAGTATTAGCCACTATTTTTTTAACTAAAGGCCGCCCAGAGGAGGATCTCCCAGTGTCATGTTCATAGTACGTGTCTACGTGCCCATTGCCTTCTGACCAATCTCTCTCTCTCTCTCTCTCTCCTCACCTCTCTCTCTCTGGCTGTGCGCTCTGCTTTGCCCTACTGTCCACTTTTTTCTTTAATTCTCTCCTTCTTGGCCTTGCTTTTACTTTTCTTCCTCACTATTTTATTTGTAACTTTCGCCAGAAAATTTGCTCCTTTTCCTCTCCTCTTCATCTTTTTCCCTGTCCCTCCAAACTTTGGTGTTCTTGTGAATCCGCTTTCTTCCTTTCTTCAGTGCTTGAATTGGAGTTGCTTTCACTCTCACGAGCCTAAAATGCCAGCCACTTCTAACCAGATTCCCCGAATTTATGGGCTCTTGTGTTCCCATCTGATGAAACCCACTTCCAGATTCTTACTTTCCTGATAAAAATTTGAGAATCCGAACGACCTCCGTAACTTCCACCGGTTCTTTCAGCAAAATGCAACTTGACTGGGGGCTTCAGCTCTGCTGCTAACGGCTATTTATGAGCTCCCATGAAACCCATTGCTCTCGTTCAGCTTCATTTCAGGTGATTACTCTGCCAAAGTATTTCCTTGTTACTGCACATCATATGTTACTCGTAACTCAGCTAGCTTGTAGATCTGGATCAGTTGGGTAACAGTTATGGATGCTGACTTCTGGGTTTCAAACTTAGATTTGGGGTCGACATTGTGGGCCTGGTTCCCTGAATTAGCTTTGGGGAACTTTCTTTTGTTTATTTCTTGGCTTAATTTTGTGTTGGAATAGTTGGGGACTGGTTGGTCTTTAGGATCTGAACGTAATTGTAAAGAAAGTGTTTTTGGTATATTTTTTCTGAAGGAGATTGGGTTGTTCAACGACTCTGATTCTCTCATCTGCTGGTTTCCTTCATAATCAATCAATGCGTGTGAAGAAAATTTGTGCTTCTTTTGGCTCATTCTTTTCTTTGTAGTGATTCAGGTTACTTTCGTGTTGGGAAAAAAAAAATCAGGAAGAAAGCTTGCATTGGTTTGTAGTTAGCTAGATAACTATTTATTCAGAGGATAAACTGGAGAAATATATGCTCGAGTTTTCTGTCCCGGTTAAAACAGTTTGCAAAGAAAGACGAAACCTAAACGTACCTACTTCTACGACTACAGTTTACATTAGATGCTATCCTCGAGTTATCGTTCAACAATTTTTCTTCATCTTTTCTAGCAGCTGGATTCACGCGTTGAGTAAATTCTATCCTCTACTCACGCTTGAGCTATCTTTCAAAAAAGAGAGAAGTATATTTTACTAATTTGGGTAAATTTCTTGGTGGATCTCATTTAAGACGTTCATATCTCTGGTGGTTGAAAAAGGTGTAAAAGATGAAAGTGCGCCCATTGAACACCACTAAGCTTTTTCCCCTTTTCCATTACCATTGTGTAATGTTTTCTTAATTATTCAAGCAAGCCTTCATGTATCATAATTCAGCTGCACAGTTCAATTCATTTGGATGCTGCTCTCATCTCTCTCTCTCTCTCTCTCTCTCTCTTTTTGTGGTGTGAGATTTGATGCTAACCATTAATGTATTGGGAGTCATTCATTTTCTACGTTGTCATTATTTTAATTCAATCTAGGTTGGTCATATGTGACTCACTTCTTCATCCTGCCCATTTCTTACTTGAATTTGTGATTGTGCTTCTAAACCAGGAACATGAAGTTCGGTGGAGGTTACTCAATTTAATTTGCAGGTTCTGTGAGTTATAGTGAACAACTCTCCATGAAGTTCTATTCAACTTCATTGCAACCTTTCCTTTTGGGTATGGTCATTCTTTTTCCTCTGGCTATTGCTGACTTAAATTCAGATAAGCAAGCCCTTCTTACTTTTGCCAATGCTATCCCCCATCGCCGGCACCTTAAGTGGGATCCATCCACCTCTGTCTGTAAGTCTTGGGTTGGCATCACTTGCAATCCAAATGGCACTCACGTTGTTTCTGTCAGGCTCCCTGGGATTGGACTTGTTGGATCCATCCCGACTAATACACTTGGAAAGCTTGACAACCTTAGAACTATAAGCCTTCGATCCAACCTAGTCAGTGGAAGTTTACCTGCTGATATTACTTCTCTTCCTTCTCTTCAGTATCTCTACCTCCAGCACAATAACCTTTCAGGTGATATACCTGCCTCATTTTCATCCCAACTAAATGTACTTGATCTGTCTTATAATTCTTTCACCGGTGTAATTCCAGAGACATTACAAAATTTAACAGGACTGACTAGATTATACCTGCAGAACAACACCCTTTCTGGACCGATACCTGATCTCAATGCCCCTAAGCTCAAGCTTTTGAACTTAAGTTACAACCAATTGAATGGCTCTATCCCGACTGCTCTTCAGAAATTTCCTAATTCATCCTTTGAAGGGAATTCTCACTTATGTGGGAAACCTCTAAAACCTTGCTTTCTGTCCCCCCCACTCCTCCTCCAGCCACACCATTGGCTCCAGGAAAACAAAGCTCCAAAAATAAATTAAGTAAAGTAGCTATCATTGCAATCGCTGTTGGAGGAGCTGTTCTGCTGTTACTTATAGCTCTTGTTATTCTTCTCTGCTGTTTAAAAAAGAAAGATGATGGAAGATCCAGTGTAATTAAAGGGAAGGGTCCTAGTGCTGGGAGGGGTGAGAAGCCAAAAGAAGAGTTTGGCAGTGGGGTGCAAGAACCGGAGAAAAACAAGCTGGTTTTCTTTGAGGGCTGTTCTTATAATTTTGATCTTGAGGATTTGCTAAGAGCTTCAGCTGAAGTCCTGGGAAAGGGTAGCTATGGTACTGCATATAAGGCTGTATTGGAGGAGTCTACTACTGTTGTGGTGAAAAGGTTGAAAGAAGTAGTGGTGGGGAAGAGAGACTTCGAACAGCAGATGGAGACTGTGGGAAGGGTTGGCCAGCATCCAAATGTTGTACCCCTTCGTGCTTATTATTACTCAAAGGATGAGAAGCTTTTAGTCTATGACTATATCCCAGGGGGCAACCTGTCGACCCTATTACATGGTATGCATTTCTGATAACCTTAATTTCTCTTTATTCCTGTGTTATCATTCCTTTTTCTTGTTATTTTCTGTGAGCTTAAAGAGAAAGTTTGTCCTCCAAATCTTTTGCATCAACAAATCAGTACTAACAGAGTACAGTTGGAATCAGTGCTGGATAAATGCTATGACTGTCAAAGAGGAACACAGTAAATGTAAATTACTTCTGGGAAAATTGATTTATAAAATATGTTGCGATAGCACTTCTGCAAACATTGTTGAGTCACATATATGGTCTGGTATCTTTCCAATGCTGCTGACCTTTATACCGCATTATTTTGAATTATTTTTCTCTACAGTGCACAGGGACTTTACATAATGAGATTTCATACCAATTTGCTTGTGTCTTATCTATTTGCATGGAAGGATTGGCTTAATACATGTGTGTGCTTTTTAAGTGATCACTGTAGAATTCAGAGTCCATACAAGAAATGGTGCAACATTGTGAGTCACTTGGGTGGATGTCTGCAAGAAGACTGCTTATAAAGTTTCCTAAATGTATTTCCTGATCATTTGATTTATAATGTGCCATTTTATGATGGATTTTCACTCTCAAATTCTTGCCTGCTGCAACAAAGATAGCAGTAAAATAGTCTTGCGCCACACACCCCCCCCCCAAAAAAAAAAACAAAGAAAAAAGGCTATCTGACCTCTAATCTGGAGTGGCACAAAATTTGTATGCACAGAAAGGAATAATATTATCTATCTTTATTCAAGCTAAAAAATAAGTGCTTGCATTTCCTTGAGGATTTTGTAGAGGCTGATGTGGTTTTTCTGCAATAAAAAATACATATGCTATCCCTTTATTACTGATGATGACAATTTGATGACAGGTAGCAGGTCAGGTGGAAGAGCTCCGTTAGATTGGGATTCCCGACTGAAGGTCTCCCTAGGAGCTGCCCGAGGAATTGCCCACATACATTCTGTTGGGGGTCCAAAATTCACTCATGGAAATATCAAGTCCTCAAATGTCCTCATCCAAGATAATGAAGCCTGCATTTCTGATTTTGGCTTGACCCCACTCATGAATGTTCCAGCAGCCCCCTCCAGAGCTGCAGGTTATCGTGCTCCCGAGGTGATCGAGACACGTAAACACACTCATAAATCAGATGTGTACAGCTTTGGTGTCCTCCTCCTGGAAATGCTTACAGGGAAAGCACCTCTCCAGTCACCAGGCCGTGATGATATGGTTGATCTCCCTAGATGGGTTCACTCTGTTGTTAGGGAGGAATGGACAGCTGAGGTTTTTGATGTGGAGCTAATGAGGTATCAAAACATCGAAGAAGAAATGGTTCAGATGTTGCAAATTGCCATGGCATGTGTGGCAAAGGTGCCGGATATGCGACCTACCATGGATGAAGTAGTGAGAATGATCGAAGAGATCCGGCAATCTGACTCAGAGAACCGGCCATCTTCGGAAGAGAATAAATCCAAGGACTCCAACGTTCAAACTCCATAAATTACTTTCTGGTGTTCCTTGGTGGTTCCAAACAAAATTGATTTCTAGACATTCGTTACTTAGGAAGCTACATTGAGTGGTATATAAGTGTGGGTGCTTACTCAGGTTTCTAAGTTGTATCCAAACCTTTCCTGTCCAATTGTGCATTATTTATTTTTCTTCGCTGACGGAGTTCCTTGGGGTGTTCTGTTCAAAATGTAGGTTTTTCCCCTTGTCTTTTCATGATTTCTTGTAACATCATGGGTTTAATTGATGATCTTCATTCTCGCAAACCACCTTTGATTGTTGTTTTGTTGGCCCTTTAGGGATAAGCTTTTCGCACAATCTCGTGATGGAAAACGCTGAGAAGAAAATCAACATCTTGTTCTTTTGATGACACTGTACAAGTACGTTGATTGGTTTAGAATTACAGGGAGGAGATCCAGAGTACCTTCATTTCAAATCTTGCTTGCTTCACCTTTGACAAGAAGCCCCACGAACAAATCATTGAATCTGAATAGTAATCCTTATTCATTCTTCATCACTGCGTTTTTTATGTCAGTTTTTTTTTTTTTTTTAAATAGAAGGTTATAGGACAATTGTGCAAGAAGATTAAAATTTAATCATGTCTAAAGTCATGAGGTTTTTATAATTGGGAGGTGGGTTATCAAGAACATGAACATTAAAATTTTCACATGATGCTTTATGAGCTAATAGATTGTCCATTTGTTGGCTTATTTATAGACATGGTCAATTTCAACCATATCAAATGCTAGTTGCATGACCCTAGATTCAATCTTTTTGGAGGCATTCCTCTTCTATTTGGAGCAATTGGACTTTGAGTTCAGTGGGCTTTCACGAGCAGCTCATTCCTTACTTCAACCAATTGTCTCCTTTATAACAAAGGATTTGGTTGTATCACAGTCCTCGGTTTAATTTTTGTTGATATTCTTTCTTGTTCTCAAAATGGGGTTTTGCATAGACAAACCGGGCTTCATGCAATCAAGAATGCTTGCAAGCCTAGTCCAATCAAAATGTAACGAAAAAGTACCCTCTTTAAGAAACTTTTTCACCTTGTGCATTGCGCGCTTTGAGAAACATCTTAATCATCCATTCATCTCTGTGTATCTACCGAGAGTGGTAAGATAAAGTGAATATTAACATAATAAAAGTTGATATTTACCAAAAAAAATGATAAAAAGTTATTAAAAAATGAATTATATGACTGTATACAAAGATTTGAAAACAATTGGATCAATTAGCAGCTTTAGTATTTCATAAACAATTTAATTGTAAAAATATGTATATCCAACCAACCAACGCCAGTATTTGCAAAATTTAATGGAAAAATATATTTTAAGGGGAAAAATAAATTGTGTGAGGCGAGGGCCAGCCAAATATGAATTATTGCTTGGGTATTTGTACCGAAAAAGCAAAAACAAAAATACTGCTTGTGTGTCCATAACTGGCGTCTCTCTTCCCAATCCCAATGGAGTCCAACAATCTCTGATTATCTGGACAGGCAGATTGACGTTGCTCAAATCGATGGGCAGTTTCTTGAAAATTACTGGAAAAGCCATTTTGTGAATGCATGAAAAAGTTTCTGATGTATACCTATCGATCAGTTGCGTTGCTGGCATTCTTTTGTTAGTTGTATCTTCACCTGCCAACTCTGATTTCCCCATATATAGAATTTCCCTGTTATGCTGGCAATTTCATAACAAATCTCGCCTTCGCACTATGTCCGATCTTCGCCCATGGCAAGCTAAAACCACGTTCGACCTACTAGGCAGTCTCTTCTTCCCCTTCACGCTCAGATTTCGTCGGCAATGGCGGCGGAGTTTCCCCCATCAACCAGCAAGCCGGCGTTAGTCAGAAACCCCTCTGCCGCCGTAGCCGCAGCCAAGTCTCGCCGCTATGCCTCCTTCGAAATGCTATTTCCACCGCCTCCGCCGCTGTTCCGTTGGTCCGGCCGCAGCGATGTTCTTGATTCCGACTTTGATCACGTCCCACGCGGACGCTACCGATCGTGTTGCATCTCAATTTACGCGTGGGCTTGTATCGGGATATTCTCTCTCACCATTATCCTCCTCATTGCTGGTATCTCCTACCTGGTTTTCCTCAGGTCAGGGTTGCCTCACGTGAACATCGCCAAATTACAGGTCTATAGCTCGCAACAGACGCATTCAGTTCTAGAATTGGAGCTAAAAAGTCTCAAACAACAACCAAAAGCTCAATCTAATTTATGGGCCTTTGGCGTTTGATGTGACCAAGGAGGATGTGAAATTGGGGAAGACAGGGATTGCCGGGTTCCGTTAGAGGCCCCAGAATGACACTTTCTTAGATGTACACATGAAAGTGTATAATGCTGGAGAAAACTCAAGTGCTGCGAGTGATAATCAATCTGAGTCGAATGCTCAAGAAATGGTGTTTGATGTGTATTTGAGTGGTGCTATTGGTTTTGAGGCTGGGACTCTGCACATGATTACAGTGCCTTTTCTATCAGCTTGTTATGAAGTTAAGCTGACGGATGTTCGATTAGGAAGAAGGCCTAAATGTAATGTCAGAATGTTATCTTTCCGGTAAAATTGCAGCTATCATCCAACGGGTTGCTAGTGAATTAAGTACAGTATTTCGATTATTGGTATGATTTTCAATAACACGTCCTTTCTTATGAGGATGGTGGTAATGAATAGGGAATGTGTGTGATTAAAGTTGCCTTTTGGGGATAATTATTGTGATGATAAAAATATGGCATAGTTGGGTGAGGAGATGCCTTGCTTTGGTGCATGGTTAATCAGCAGAGTCTGCTGTATACTTGGCAGATCAAAATAACTCATTTCAATCTTAACTTCGAATGTTTGTCATGACCTGCTGTCCTGCTCAGGGCTAGCTCTATTATTCCGATATGGTAGTATTTACAAAACTACAATTCCCCTTTGCCACATGAAAACAAGAGGAGCAAGGATCTTCATGTGGTTCGTTTTTTTATTTGTAACAGAATAAATTAAAAAATAACAATAAAATCTTGTGAAAATATGTAAATGACATTTAGGTCTCCTAAAATATCATAATTAGAGCAAGAAAAATGGGCTGAACCAGTGGGGCCGATTCATTTAAGTCCAATAATTATTAAGGTTAAGCTTGAGATTTAAATTTTCAAAACACAAATCAAGCTTATAAAGGCCAACCCTAATAATAGGTTGAGGACTTAAATGAACCAACCCTGTGGGGTTGAGGGCTAGCCCATTCAGGCCCTTTTGTTTATTTATTTTTTAAATATTAATTAAGATCTTAATGTTATTGATATTTTTGACATTATTGATAATATTTTAAACACTTACTCCCTCTATTTAAAAATATAAGGCATTTTTAGATGAATTGAATGTTTAAAAATATAAAATATTTTTAGCCTTTCAATATGTAATCGTTGCTTTTTTTTCAAAATACCCCTATTGATAATGACTTTATATTTATTGTAGGGTGTTTAATATGAGTAAATATAAAAAAATAACATTAGTTTGAAAATAGGTAACAGCTTTATTAGGAGTAAAATTCAGTTAAAACTGTATTATATTTTTAAACGGAGGGAGTGGTTGTTATTGTATTTTTTTAGAATTGAACTTTGCATAGTAGTTTGATTTGTTTAATTCCAAATAATGATTTCTTTATTCAAATTTTAAAAAGTTGTTTCATTTAAGTTAAACTAGAGAATGATTTGATTTATATTATTTGTGTCTTAATATTTTAAACTATATTTTTGGCAAAAGAGTATTTGTACACTTATACAATTTTGAGATTGCATGATTTGAATTATAATCTTATAAATTTTAATATTTTATTACTTAAAGTAAGCGTTCTTTTGCATAATCATGATGCTAGTGTTGCTATTGATGTTTAAATGTTATTGTCTCATTGAGGTGTAGAGAAAAATCATTTGATTTAATTAACTTTTAATAATGGTAAATACTTAAGTTTGTTAATATTTATGACATGAATTCAGAATTTTATAATATTTATTTTATTATTTTATGCGATCACTCAAAAGAGAAAAAGCATTAAAAATATATATAAAAAAAAGAGATTGAAGCCCGTAAGGCCTGTGAGGTTGAAGACCGAACTTTGTAAATGAGCCCTTTTTTTTGCATAAATGGGCTTTTTGAGCCCGATTTGTAATCTTCGAGATAGATTGATAAGATTACCATTATTAATTCACTTAAAATCTTTCAAAATCACAGTAATTAACAAATTGGTAAAGTTTTATAAATGGGGACCCCAGTTTCATAATTTAAAATACTCTCCTACACTTTTATTGTTTTCAAAACAGAGTCTCAAACATATGTGAAAACATGGGTTTTGAAATAAGGTTGCATTTGTAAAAGAAATGAGAGAACATTAATTTTTTCAAAATAGTGTGATGCATTGTGGCTCATTGCAAATGCACTACAGCTTATCAATCTCTGCGCTGTGCACCACGACGCATTATGCGAGTTTTTGACAGTAATTTGTTGTCAAATTGACAGCATTCGAAATGAATTTCTAACGCGTCCTAAATTTTAATCCGATGTTCGATTAAAATAATTTAAGTATTTACAGAAAGCTTTATCCTAACTCTAAATAATAGCGCAAGTTTCACAATTAACTTACTTTTTTTTATCAAAAGTTAGACACCCTTTATAAATTTTACTCCTTCTTCACAACAACTCACAACTAAGGCACCCAAACTATAATACAAGTGTTAAAAACTTGCACCATCTCTTAAACCACACTTAATAGATTATTATAGATTTGTACAATACACCACAACAAATCCAAAACACTCACTCCCTCCATCCTTATATATAAAGTATTTTTTATAAAATTTTTTATCCCTTAATATAAGGGGTAGTAATGATATTTTTAAGCAATTAGACAATTTTACCTTTATCTTAAAAAATGAAATAGATCATTAATTGTATATTTTTTCTACCACCGTCATGATATTAATTATGATATTATTAGAGGTAAAACTGAAAAATCATTATATTTTTATGTGATTTTAACTAAATAACAAACATTTATTGATATGCGTGATTCAATTAAAAATACCTTATACATAAAGACGGAGGAAGTATTTAATAAATTCATCACTCAACCCTTAATTTTCAAAAGTATGAGGGGGTCAACTTTGCGCAAAATAATTAAATATTCATTAGAAATAACCCAAATGCACCTTACCCTACTTACACTAGTATTTTGATCCTATTTAAATTTTACAAATAGTTGTCACTAGCTTAGAACACAAAATACACGAGATATTCACAATTATGATGCAAGTAATCAAAAATAATTGCATGAAATCCTGGTTGGTAATCTAACAATGTTCAAATACGCATAATTTAAATCAGGAGGCCTATAAGTAAGATTTACTTAGAACCCTAAGCCTTCGATTGTTTTCCTCAATCCTAATTTAATAAGCTAGGCCTTACAATATTAAAGAATGAGGGGTGGGTATAAGCATTCAATAATCAAGGTTAACCTAACCTATACAATTACGTGTTAATTAATTTTAAATGCAATTGGAAATTTAATCCACACTTTATATGCACGTGTATCAAACATAATCTCAGATGCAAAAATAACAACCATGTGACCAAATGCACAACACATCTCATCTCACACACACACAACATATAAATTATGCACACCACGAGATCATAAAAATAACTTCCACTTACCCTTAAGCAAAATGTTAAACTACAATAATAATAACCATGTAGTTGAAAATATAATACATGATCAATGCCAACACTATACCTTATCGATATCTCCGACATAAAATTGATGGCTATTCGATGGTTACATCTATGACTTGAAAGAACCCAATCTTTTACTTGTGAGAAGTTACCGAGTTAGGGTCAACTCACTCGTGTCCCGTGGTTTCTCCTAATACCAGTCTCCTTATGAACAGATGGAGACTAGTTAGGTTCTAGTCCCTTAAAAAATAAATAGGAAAGTCCCAAATCAATAATGGGACAACGACTGCCTTTCGATTCTAACGATCGGTGCCAATACAAGCTTTCAATTCTAACAATAAGTTGCCATTACCACGTAACTTTATCAATCCACTTATCTTCCCAAGTGAAACGCCTGCCAATGATCATGTCATGCACATAAAAACACTATTGTGTCTTGTTAATATAATTAATATCATCATATCATATTCACACAATCTTCCTTCTCTATTATTCTCCACATGCCAAATGTTACACATCTATCATTCTCCACAAGTCAAATACCACACATTCATCATTAATTACATACCAAATTAATAATTAATTGCATATGTAAAAATATGCACACTGTCAATTCAACACAATGTCACACATTGCCACATTTGTTTCAAATGGTTCTCAGGCATCCAGATAATTTTTAAATGATTTAATTCAACTAGTAAATAATTAAAATACAGTTATACAAAAAAAAATTTCTCCCAATTATCTCAAATCTCTACGAGATCAAAAGTTTATTCCTTAAAACACAAACTTTCAAAGCTTGCCAAATAGCTTGAATGGTGCCAAAACCATTTGTTTACAATGAAATTACAAAGATGTTTATTAATATCCTTATTTGAGCAATTTCAACATTCAAATTCCACATTCTCTTTCTATCAAAATCATACACTCACTCTCAATCATACCCATTGGGTTTATTAAATTTTAATAATTTACATTATAATTAATAAGTCATTAAACTACTATCAATAGCTTTTCAACTCATTCAACTATTATATTTATTATCATTTTTTGGATATTATTGATTTTCAACAACCAACAACTCACAAAACCATTAGCGTGGGATTTAAATATTCCAAACAACTCTCATGATTAATGTTTTAGCCAATGGGTTTGGAGTTATAGTTCATGTAAATCCAAAATCATCATTCTAACTCAAACCCGAACTTCTTAACTAGAGAAAATGAAAGAAAAAAGGAGGAGGAAGTTAAACATACTTACCTTTAGGTGGTGAAGAGCTCTAAAATACTCCCAACCTTTGATGCCACAAGTCCCAATAGAGAAATTTAGTTGCTCCCCCGCTGGAATCTGTTTGTTTCACATGTTTTATATTAGAAAAATTGGCTATGTGTAGAGAGGCTCATTCTTGGTTGATTGACACACATGTGTTGTAGCGGATGAACCACATGTTGCGGTGTGTGACACAAAATCACTTCCTTCGAATTTTTTCCTTTTTTTCATATCTAGGTTACTTGACTTTACTTCTGACTCGTATTTAAGGTTGAAATTACAATTAATAATAATAATTAAATATGGTCACACACCACATTAATAAATTTAATTACTTTAATTAAGCTCAATTAATCAAGTTTAAATTTTTAGAATGTTACATGACTCTTTCAAGCCATAATTTTTTTAAAGTTCCTGGTACCTTTCCAACATTAATAATTTTATATTAAATGACTAGATTGCCCTTTGTTTAAAATAAAAATAACAAGTTAGTAAATTACTAAGTTAAATTAGCAAATGAATAATTAATATTATTGATTGTCTGACAAATGAATGTAATTTATAAGTAACATTGATAAATTAATAAATAGAGTAAAAAATAATAATTAATAATTTTACAAAAAGAATTTAAATCTTTTTATCATGTAAATGTTTTTCATTTTTTTTAAATTGAATTAAAATTTTAATTTTTTTTATATTCACCTGAAATTAATTTTCTATTACTCCTAGCTGAAATTCTCCCTTGAAACTTCTTTGACGGTATTCTCTGTATCTAAATCAAAAAATAAAATATAAAATCATTTAAAAAAGGCAGTGCCAGAACGTTGCTCTCACGCTAACATGGAATGCGTATACTGATGAAAATTCTAGAAGCAATCTCTCCCTCCTCTTTCTCTCTCCCCGTCTGTGGCTTATAATCTTTTCCCTTCGGCTTCCCACCCTCAATTATTTCTTGGGTTTTCATTCTCTTGCAGTTTCATTTGCCATTTCTTCATCTCCGAGTTCCGCTGCTTCAATTCGACCCTAGGTAATCCTTCCTTATCGCTCTGTCTTTCTTATTCTTGATTCTGTGTTGTTATCGAAAGAGATTGTTGCCTGTTCCGTCGTTGTCAATTCGGCCCCAAGATATTTGGGTCTGCTGTTTATTTTATTAGGTTCTGGCCCCCACGATCTGATTGCTGATAGAGCGTCGCTGTTGGTATTTGTGGTTTCTAGGTTTCGTCTTTGAGGACTTTCACCTCAAGTTAACTATGGCATCGAAACGCATCTTGAAGGAGCTCAAGGATTTGCAGAAGGACCCTCCTACTTCATGCAGTGCGGGTGAGCTTCCTGATTCCCTTCATATATTTCTTTCAGGGTCTATTGATTTTCACGATTAACAGCTGCATCCGATAAATCATATTGCAAACCTTCGCTGCCAACAGCAGAAAAGTTTGCAGCTTCATTTTCAGCATTTCTTTAAACATAGATTCTAATTAAATGTATTTTAAGATTTCGTATTTTAAAGAAATCGATTGTTCTGACTTCTGTGTAACCGTTGACCAATTGACTCGGAATTTTTGGTCAGCAAAATTTTCATTTTATCTGCTGTTCTTTTATGCCAATTAGGAGTGAGTTGATGTCTCGGGTACCATTTAATTGGAGTTAAATATATTTGGAATTAAGTTAGAGAGCTGATCTATCGTACAACAAAATCCATAACGTAGTTTGATCCTTCATATGTTAGCATGTTTGAACATTGATTACCTTGGTTAAGTCTTGGTTACTTATTTGTTATTGACAATCTCTCTGCGGTTCGTTATATAAAATAGCATGGTGATTTGTATTACATGAGTGTTTAAGGGTAGTCTATAACATCCTTGGTGTATATGGTGCTCCAGACCATAAACTTTTCTTGTGAGATTTGAATTTACCCCTTATTATATTAGTTCATTTAGTTGCTTTTATTGAGTTAGTTGTAATCTGAAAGCGGTCTGCTTCTTTTAGTAAGTCCTGACGTCCAAAATTCTCTTATTATCCATGTTAGGTCCCGTGGCTGAGGACATGTTTCATTGGCAAGCAACAATTATGGGACCTTCAGATAGTCCATATGCCGGTGGTGTCTTCCTTGTCTCAATTCATTTTCCTCCTGACTATCCTTTCAAGCCACCGAAGGTAGTATATCCTGAGCTGTTCCTTGTATTAGTCACTAGCATATTTGTTCTTCACATGCTGCTGTGATGAAGTCTGTTGATGATTGTTCAAACACAGAAAAGAATTTTGGTTTTTTTTCTCTGGGCATGCTCTCCTTGAAGTCATGTCCGAATACTCAGAAGTATGAACTGCTGCAAAATGCACCATGGGCCAAAGTTGTGTTGAAAACTCAAAAGCTGTGTTGGTTTAATTGAACTAGCCTTTGAATCTAATAAAGAACATCATTATGGGAATGTGGTTAATAGCTTTTCTGTTTTATTAACTCTGCAATTCAAAAATAATCATTTTGGTGAAAATTTGTCTGCTTATTTATTTTATATTTTCTTTGTAGAAACAGTTATCATTTTTTGATACTGCAATTAGCAAGTATATTTTGCTATAGCAAGTTTGTTATAAATTTGTAATTAGGATATAATTGATTAGTTAGTTAATATAGCCGTTGGGAAAAGTATAGCCGTTGGGAAAAGCTTGGGAAAGGACGTCTATATATAGGCTGATAATTGTATTTTGAGGTTTTATGAACGGAAGACGTATTATTCAGTGCAATCTCTATTTCTCAATCTCTCTCAACTTCTCCTCTTTAATCTCTCTTCTTTCCTGCTCTCTCTATCTTTCTGTTCTTCTCTCATTTCATTCCCGCTCCCTCCCCCAACTTTCTATCTTTCCAAATTATTCTTACCTATCAGTGATATCAGAGCCAGGCGCTCCTCGGCCCCCTCTTCTATATCTCCAATTACGGTTCATGGTCAAGACGCGTAGCAGACACCAACAAAGCCGACCAGAGATGGAAGATTTCATGGTCAAGATCGAAGAAAACAATGGAAAGATTGACGCCTTGACCGAATTGGTTGATGGGCTTTCCCAACAGTTTCAGTCTTTGGTAAGGGACCGAGAGGCTGAAAGAGAAGGCCACCACCGAAACGGACAGATTGCTGAACGCCATCATGAGCATGAGGATTATTGATGCAGAGAGGGGTATGAACGAAGAGAATACCGGAGGCCCACGTAGTTCACGAAGATGGAGTTCCCAAAGTTTACTCGGGAAGACGTTCTCGGGTGGATTTTGAAATGTGAAGTGAGTGATATTTCGAGCTTGATGAGACGCCAGAAGAAACCAAGATCAAGATAGCAAGCATGCATCTTGACCCAAGAGCCTTCCAATGGCATCAAGCTTATGAGAAATCATGGGAAGGAATTTGGCCGACGTGGGAAGAATATATAGAAGTGAAAGATCGTTTCAGACCTGTTCATGAGACTTCAATGAGCGATTTAGCTCGTCTGAAGCAACGAGGAGTTCTGGTCGAGTATCACGATGAGTTTGATATGCTTGCGTGTAAGCTGCGACTGCCAGAAGAGTATTTGGTGGACATGTACCTCTCGGATCTTCGAGAGGAATATGAGGGTCCAGTCCGCCTGTTCAAACCTCGAACCCTGAGGGAGGCTCGGAAACTTGCGAGAATGCAAGAAATCATATTCTAGAGACAGACCGAGAAGAAAAGCCAGAATAAAAGGGGAGGATACGTGGCCACCTCAGTTTCGGCCACCCAACCCTCAGCACCAGCCACACAAACCTTCCAGTCAAACACGTGGGGTTCATATAAAAAAGCACTAATGGGTAATGGGGCCCATACCAAAGCCAAGACGCCCTACCTCAAAAAAGTGTCTCGGTCAATCAAAAATTAGTCAACACTGTCCTGAAAATCCTTTCGGCGGACGAAGAAGCTGAACACAGAAGAAAAAACTTGTGCTTCTACTGTCATGAAAATTTTTCATGAGATCATAGATGCCCACAAAGGCAGAGATTACAGCTTCATTTTATTGAGGTTAATGATGTCCCAGAAGATGTTACTCAGCTGGAAGAAGATGGTGAGGTTGAAGGGGAAGACACCCAACCTTTTATCTCGCTACACGCTATGGAAGGAGTTGATGATGGCTCTTCAATGAGGCTCATAGGGTATTTTGGCAAGAAACAGCTTCATATTCTAATTGACAGTGGCAGCACCCATGACTTTTTGGACTTTAATGTGGCAAAAAGACTCGGGTGGCAAGCTGATGGAACGAAGGAGGAATGGGTAGAGGTGGCTGGAGGAAGAAGATTGAAGGTGCATGGAATTTAGGAGGGGTTCAAATGGAGAATGCAGGGTTTAGAATTTTCTTTTGATTTCAGAATTCTTGAATTACATACCTATGATTTAATATTGGGGCTGAAATGGCTCAAAAGTATTAAAAATTCTTTCTGGGATTATGAATTTCTAACCATGTTTTTTAAGCTTGAAGGAAAAATGTGTAAGCTTCAAGCTATGCCTTCCAATACCCTACGAGTAGTGCAACCAAAGAGAGTGGAAATTAAGGATTTTTCTACTAACCAAGTATTTTTGCTGCAATTAATTCCCAAGGGGCGTGAGAAGGTGGAAATCTTCTCAGTACAGACCTGTATGGAAATCCCAGAGGCGATTAATTCCACATTGCAAGGGTTCCCTGACCTCTTTGAAGCACCCAAGGGGTTGCCACCGTTTCGTGAGGGACACGATCACTCTATTGTTCTTCAAGAAGGTACCAATCCCGTAAACTTAAAGCCCTACAGATATCCCTCCGCCCAAAAGGATGTTATTGAAGGGTTAGTCAAGGAATTACTACACACGGGGGTAATACAAGAGAGTTCCAACCCATTTTCTGCTCCAATTGTCTTAGTCAAAAAGAAGGATGGTACTTGGAGGATGTGTATAGATTATAGGGACTTAAATAAAAAGACAGTGAAAAATCAATATCCTATTCCCTTAGTAGAAGACCTCTTTGATGAGTTAAGTGTTGCAAAATGGTTTACAAAATTGGATTTGAGGGCTGGTTATCATCAAATCCGAATGGTGCCTCAAGATGTTTCAAAGACTGTTTTTAAGACACACAGTGGGCATTATGAATGGTTAGTTATGCCATTCGGTCTAACGAATGCACCAGCAACTTTCCAAGGGGCTATGAATAGTATATTCCGTCCTTATTTGAGGAAGTTTGTGCTAGTGTTTTTTGATGATATATTGATCTATAGCGCTAATCTTAATGATCATGTGCAGCACCTCAAGGAAGTGTTTTCTATTTTGAGACAGCATCAGTTCTTTATTAAAAAGAGCAAATGTTCTTTTGCAGCAAGTGAAGTCGAGTATTTGGGACATTTAATTGGTGGGGGGCAAGTCAGAACAGATCCCAAGAAAGTGCAAGCAGTGGCTGAATGGCCTGAACCCACAAATATCAAGCAATTAAGGGCTTTCTTGGGGCTGGCTGGATACTATAGAAGGTTTGTCAAGAGCTATGGGATTTTAGCTAAGCCACTAACTCTTCTTCTTAAGAAGAATGGATTTGAGTGGTCAAGGGTAGCTGCTGCAGCTTTTACCAAACTCAAGGAAGTCCTTATTTCTGCACCTGTACTCACTCTTCCAGATTTCTCGAAACAATTTGTAGTTGAAACTGATGCTTGTGGAGTAAGGGTAGGGGCTGTTCTAATGCAATCCGGTCAGCCAATTGCTTACTTTAGCAAGGGTTTGGCTGAAAGGCATCAAAAACTCTTGATATATGAAAAAGAATTGATGGCGGTGGTCTTGGCTGTGCTTCACTGGCATCAATATTTGGAAGGGAAAAGATTTATAATAAGGTCTGATCAGCAAAGCCTAAAATATCTGCTAGGGCAGAAGTTAAAAACCAGTTTTCAGATGTTTTGGGTTGCTAAATTAGCTGGTTTTGACTATGAGATTCAGTACAAAAAGGGGAATGAAAATTCTGTTGCAGATGCTCTCTCAAGAATACCGAAACAGCAAGTTATGCAGATGATTTTAGACACATCATCACCAGAGTTGCTTGAGAAGATAAAGGAAAGTTGGGACGTGGATGCTGTTATTTCAGAAATCCGGAAGAAAACGCAAGAGAATGAGGGAATCTGGAGTCATTTTTCTTGGGATGGGAGCTTATTAAGAAGAAAAGGGAAGCTGGTAATAGGGTCTCATCCTCCTTTGAGGCAACAAATATTGGAATGGCTCCATGCAAGCCCACAAGGTGGTCATTCAGGAATTCAGGCTGCATATCAAAGGGTTAAATCCTTATTTTGGTGGAAAAAAATGATAATTGACATTTCTGATTTTATTAAACAATGTGATACATGTGCTAGGTGTAAATATGAGACTGTTGCTGCCCCTGGACTATTACAGCCTTTGCCTATTCCTAGTAAGGTATGGGAGAGTATCACTGTGGATTTTATTGAAGGGCTCCCTAAATCCTTTGGCAAGGACACTATTTGGGTAGTAATTGACCGTATGAGTAAGTATGCACACTTTGTACCACTCACTCATCCCTTTTCAGCTTCCATATTAGCTCAAATTTTTATGGATCAAGTTTATAAATTACATGGGGCACCATCTGAAATTATTAGTGACCGTGACCTTTTATTTGTTAGCGGCTTTTGGAAAGAGTTTTTGCAGGTTTTGGGGGTAAAGCAACTTCTTTCCACTGCGTATCACTCTCAAACGGATGGGCAGTCTGAAGTGCTTAATCGTTGCTTGGAAACCTACCTTCGGTGTATGTGTTGGGAACAACCCAAGCAGTGGAGTAAGTGGCTGTCACAGGCAGAATGGTGGTATAATACCACTTTTCACACAGCAACTAAGGCTACTCCCTATGAACTTCTATATGGTCAGAAACCTCCTCTCCATTCTCCTTATTTACCTCATAATAGTGTGCTAGATGCTGTGGACAGGTCGTTTACAGCAAGGGAAGAGATGATAGCTGTTCTCAAACATCATCTCCATCGTGCTGCAAATATGATGAAGCAAAGGGCAGACTCACACAGATCTGATCGGGAATTTGCAGTGGGGCAATGGGTTTTCTTACAACCCTACAGGCAGCTTTCTGCAGTTTCTAGGAGTAACCAAAAATTAGCTCTTAGGTATTTTGGTCCTTACAAGGTGATTTAAAGAGTTGGAGCCGTGGCATACAAGTTAGAACTACCACCTGATTCTAGAATACATGCAACCTTTCATGTATCCCTATTGAAGCTATGTCCTGATCCTAAAGTCAAGCAGAGGCATCCACCTCTTGACTGGCCTGAAATACCTCCTGTTTTAGAACCTGAATGCATTTTGCAGAAAAGAGTTGGCCGGAAAAAGAGGAGGATAATTACTGAAATTTTAGTCAAGTGGAAGCAATTACCTGAGGAAGAAGCATCCTGGACAGCTTTGCATCAGTTTCAGCAGCAATTTCCTCAATTTGTTGTTACTAATCCTTGAGGGCAATGATCTCTTTAGGGGGGGTATTGTTATAAATTTGTAATTAGGATATAATTGATTAGTTAGTTAATATAGCCGTTGGGAAAAGTATAGCCGTTAAAGTATAGCCGTTGGGAAAAGCTTGGGAAGGGACGTCTATATATAGGCTGATAATTGTATTTTGAGGTTTTATGAACGGAAGACGTATTATTCAGTGCAATCTCTATTTCTCAATCTCTCTCAACTTCTCCTCTTTAATCTCTCTTCTTTCCTGCTCTCTCTATCTTTCTGTTCTTCTCTCATTTCATTCCCGCTCCCTCCCCCAACTTTCTATCTTTCCAAATTATTCTTACCTATCAAAGTTCTAGTTTTTCATTAGCTTCATGCAATACTGACTGGGAGAATTGATTTGTGCTGGCAGTTTTTTCTCTCTTTAATTATTGCTATACATGTAAAATATGCACCACTGTAGACATGATACTGTGGATGTTGTATAGATCTTTTCTTTTTGGGCTGCCCCACTTCACCCTCTCCAGTTCACAAGCATGCACACTTGAGATATCATTTAAAAGAGAACAGTTTTATAGAAAGTTGAGTTGCTGGAGTAAGACCATTGGTTTCTTTTAACTGGTAGTTGGGTGAGATTTCAATCTTCTTTTCAGCTCAGTCTCCTCTTTTTTCGGTTCCCTGTATTCTTCCAGGTCTTTCTGCTTAGATCCATCTCTCTGCGGAATTATCCTGTTTGATTTTCTCTGTCATTTGGCATGCCAATAGATTTCATGAGACCCTGTGTTGAGGGGTTGCTTTATCTGGTCTTTCTGGAGCTGAAACTAATGCCCCCCTCCCCCCTGATGATAGTCAAGTTTGTGGAACTGATGAAATTGGTTTACTAAATATTGCAGGTTGCATTTAGGACTAAGGTGTTTCACCCAAACATCAATAGCAATGGAAGTATATGTCTTGACATTCTTAAAGAACAGTGGAGCCCAGCACTTACAATTTCCAAGGTTTGATATTACGTGGTTCTCGAGTTTTGACTGAGTTTACTTCCCTCTAGGAGCAACAGATGGATTTAGAGTATAGGTGATATTTATACAGAAAGTAGACTAGATATCTGAGATTTTAGTTGTTCAAACAATGACGACATCTGATTTTTGTTGAGTTGAGCTATAGTTCTTGCCATCTTGATAAGGGTACTGTATATGATATTGCAGCAATATAAATGATTTGAATGACTTAAATATTCCTCTCAGTTTCCTTAAATGGGGCTTCATTCTTGTTTCCCAAGAGCCATTTCTTTGATAACTTGACGACACCTCTGCATGTATTGCTGTAATTCAATTGCAGAAAAAATTTATTTCCGTTATTTTCAGGTCCTTTTGTCAATATGCTCATTGTTGACGGACCCCAACCCTGATGACCCCCTTGTCCCCGAAATTGCTCACATGTACAAGACCGACAGAGCCAAGTATGAAGCTACTGCTCGCAGCTGGACACAGAAGTATGCCATGGGATGAACGGTCCTTCCTTCTCTCAACTGTTTGAATAAAAGTGGAAAAAAAAAATTATATTTGCTTCTTATGTAACAGAATTAAAGATGTCTTGAATGGATGCTTTCTGTTTTTGTCCGTGGAACTTAAAATTGGTAATTGTTAAGGGTCCGCTGTTGTGAATATTCCTTTTGTATGACGTTGGTGATGTGAAGGTTATTGTTCCGTAAACTTTGTCGTGAACGATCTGCTTTTCGAAGTGTTACTCCTTGAGCCATGACAACGCAGTCATAGGTGGGTGTTGTCAACAGGCTCAAAACTTGGGTAGATTTAATTCGTAAATTGGAGGGAGGGACGAAATAAGCTGTGAATTTTACAGGTCAGGAATATTTTTAAATAGAAAATAGTGTTTTTTATTTGAGATGTTAACAAATACAACGGGCTATTGCGAGGGCTCTGTTTGATTAAGTCGCACCACGAGGTTGGTTCAACATTCTTAGGTGTTTTATGATGCTATAAAGTGTTATTTATTTATTTGTTGTTAAATTAATTATACTTCCTATATATGTTATTTTCGTGTAAGGTACAGGGCAGGATTTCTTTTTTCTGTTTTAGAAGCGTGAGTAGATTTAAGGGTCTTTAAGAGTTGAGGAGGGAAAGGAAATCTGGTGAAGGAAAAGATTATGGTGATGGCTAAAGGATGCCTCGACCATCGGCCAAATCGCTCTGCAACTTTGTCAACAGCAACAATCAAAAATAATCATCAAGAACCCAGAGATTTGGAAAAATGCTGGAAGAAGATGGGTAATTTTACTGTCGAATGAGAACCTAGATCTGGAAGATGTCGAGTGGAGCTGTGTGGGTGGAAGATTCTAGAGATGCACTCATATTGCAGCGACGCGATTGCTTGTGTTGGTGTGTGGAGGGATTTTAGTTCCAGATGCGAGATCAAGGGGATGGTGAAGACAATGGCTTCCAAATCTGGTGATGATTAGAGCTACATATGGCTGCTGCTTTCAACTCCCGACTCTTCTCTCCACGGCGTCTCTGGTAACCGATGGTGGTGCTTGGTGCCATCGTTTCTGTTGGGGTGGTGCTTGCTGTTAGGGATGGAGGAAGGGTAATGATGGGGAAGAAGGGAAGAATGAAGATGATGTGAGAAGGCAAATGGAATTTGGACCCCATAGAATTTGAGATGGAATCCAATTCCAACAAATTCTGATGGAAATTGTTTCCACATTTTAATCTAATTTTAACTAATCAAACATGTGAAACTTTAATTTCTAATTTTATATCCATTTACACCCTTCTAAATCCATCATGCCAAAAGGCTCTTGGGGAAAGTTGGAGAATAAGTTGGTATTGGATTTGTCAAAAGAGGGACGGTTCAAAAATTGATTAAAAATCTGTTGCAGCGCTCCTTTTATTGAGGGTGAAAGATCAAGGTTACAAAGTCTGCGGATGTGAACGTTGGTGTGGCAAGTAGTTGTTGCCCTGATGTGAATCTTATGAAATGCCGCACATTTATTGTGTTGGCAAGAAATTTATAGGGAGACGTGGGAATGAATAAGGAAGCATAGTTGTGGGGATTCCAAGAGAGTTGATATCGAAGCATTATTGTGAGTGAGAAAGCTCAGCCACAGGAAGATGCTCATAATTGTCATTCTTGGAAGATGAAAGCTGCCTTCCAAAAACGATTGGCATGTTTTGTGTGTGCTCCTTCTCGGAAAGCGATCACTGCCTTCTCTCAACGCTAAAACCTCTCCCCTGTTATGAAACTCTCGCTACTTTTCTCAATATCGTTCCAATTTTATCAGATGTCTGTGAAAGGATGATGGCAATTTTTGCTTGAATGAAAAAGTAAATGCCACAAATGGTGGGTGCATTATTTCCTCTGTTTCCACCATGCATGCGGGACCATCCAAAGGGAATTGGCTGAAAGGACTTGAGGGAACCCCCCGAGAAAAACTACAAGAAAAGTAAACATGGTCATTACATTCACGTGGATAATATTATATTATATTTTATTATAATTTTTAAGAGTATATTTAAATTTTAGTTGGGTATAATTAATTATAAAAAAATTAATTAATATAATTGATTTTGATTACAATTGAATGGTATTTTTAAAAATTTATATTTCATTTTAAAAAGTATTCTTTCTATTAAAAATGTAAGGTATTTTTTAAAAGGTTAAATATTTAAATGTATAAAATATTTTTAATCTTTCAAAGTGTGATGATTTTTTAAAGTGTTCTTATTAAATAAATTACTTGATATTTTTATCCTATTAAATAGGGGTGAATAGAAAAAGATATTATTAATTTAAAAATAAATAACTATTTTATTAAAGATAAAATTTGATTAAAAATATTTTATAATTTTAAATATAAAAAATAAGATTGTTAAATTTATTTAATAAAATTTATTAATACATTAGGTTTTATTCAAAAATAAGGAGTATTATAATATAATATCTTATTTAATAAATTTAACAAAGCAAAGCGAGACTGCAAGTACATGCAGGGGTATGTTGGAGCAGATGATATTTCTGACAAATAATAAATGAAAATAAGAGCACCGTGGTTTGAGTGTTCAGAATTGACTATTTTCCTCATTCAAATAAGCACTAAATTATTTCAAAATTGGTTTAGATCCTGAAAGAAATAAGTTTTTACTGTTTGTAGTGAATGTCACTGTTATTCTTGAAGTATTTGTTTAAAAAAGTAATTTGTTTACATTATTTCATGTATTAATTTACTGAATGTATTATATTATACTTGGAAACCCATGCTGCGCTTATATCTTAAAATTAAAAAAAAATAATTTACAGTATTATTTGAAATAGGAGTGGGTAAATTATATGAAGTAGATTATTGAGGAAAGATAGGAATTGTGGATATCCACGCAGAGGACATTATAAATAGTGCGTAGCTGTATGAATTGAATATCTCGCGGGGATGGAGGGAAGGCAGCTATTTAGTTTGGTCATGGTTGCTACTTGCTAGCTACGCAATCCAATCAGCGGCTGTTTGCATCGGCAAAGAACAAAAGCCGTCTACATCCAATCGTACCATTTCCACACCCCCAAAGCTTTTCAGCTATCCCCAGTGAACTGCCTCTCCCCAGTTTTTTTCAGACCTAGTGGAAGTTACACCATTAATATACATTAATTTCTTGGAAGCTGATATTTAGATAACACTACTGTACCAATTTAACCAAGCATACCGTCGTATTCCTATGGCGTGCCTCTCCCAGATTTTTAGACTTAACAAATTTTTACTGAAAGATGTACTAGACGCTGGGAGTCCATATCTCTCTGGTGCCTGCCCCTGATTCCTGCATCTGCGTATTCTGTTTGATTTGGAGTTTGATGTCACGTTTGATCCGATTTAACTTCCCAGCTTTCTCCAGAGGTGCAATTCTGCACAAGCATTGATTCCCCTCCCAAATCTCAGCCTCTCATAGTAGGCATTTTCAACAATGGATTAGACTCCCTAGTTCTCGTCCCACAGTAAAACCCTCCTCGCAACACTGGTATTAAAAGGTCCGGCATTTGACCGCTCTCAGCAATTATTGTGTCTCACCTTATTGACCATGTTGGTTGGGACGTACTTGGTGAAAATACAACCCCCAAAAGCTGTCACTCGTGGCTTCCAGCCCCTCCTCCCCCGCAAATCCTCCCATCAGCACCAACCACTTGGGCTGCTTCATTCCTTCACTTCCCAGTTTCTTCATTTTTAATATGGGCATCGCAGGGACAGCACTGACCAGTGCATTAGGATTCTAGTATAAGCAACAATAAACACGCACCTGAGGTCATGAAGGTCGTATTCACGGTCTATATTTTTTATTTCAAAAGTTAAGGTAATCAAATGAACTTAATTTTAGCATGAGAGGACTGTTGAGAATAATAAACAGGGGGGATGAGAGAAAGATAAACAGGAGGTGTCACTATCTGAAAATTGGAGTCTTCATGCCCCTTAACTGAGATAAGAGGACACGTGCTTGACTCGCCGGGTAGATCTTTCCCTTTGCTTCTCCCTCAAGACATGCCATATGTATACTTTAAGCAACAACTCTTTGTGACACTGCTTCCATTTTTTTTTTTTTTAAATTTTTCCTGTGCAGCGGTATTAAATACTACTAATAAATTATATGAAAGAGGTGTTAATTTTTTAATTATTCTCGCGCGTGAGTAACCACTGCAACGTGTTCTCGCAAAACCCCACCATCACTCATACCATTCGTTCATTAACTGCTCTTCCAACTTGGCAAACTTCTAGACTCTCCGGATTCTTAGGGCACATTTTGATTTCAATTGACAAAAATTGATTAACAACAAGTGAGAATGTTTGGATAATATTTTCTAAACCTGATGTTAATAATTGAAAATGTTGAATAACTTTTCAGAATTAATTATAAAAATGGAAAATAGAAAATGTTCAGATATTAAAAATCGATTCTTAAATGAAGAAAAAAAAACTTCTTCAAAATAGAGTTTCACAGATGATAAAGTTATTTTTATAAAGTTTAGTTTATTTTCAAAACTGATTTTAAATGGAAATCTAAACTCTAAAGAGGTTTTATTGGTGGTGTCAAAAAGAGAGCAATTTCAAGTATTAGTCCATTGAACCGGTGATTGTTGGCCCTGGTTAATTTTCAACGTTGGTGAGTGACAGTAATCAGTAAGAGATTGAATGAGTAAATAGGAGCAGTTGAGAATAATCAAAAGAGAAGAAAGAGGGTTGGACACGTCAGCAGAGGCAGCTGGAAGCCTTGAAGCTGCGTCTGCGCTACTCTCGAGAGCGACGCGAACACGCACACAGTCACGCCCCCCCGCTCCACTCCCAAATCTCCTACTCCCTCAACTCAACACTATCACCATCTTTTTTTAATTATTTTTTTAATATTGTAATTGGGTGGCGGATTTAAGTATTTAATTTTAAAATGAGCGTGTCAAAATTGAAGGTTATTAGCCTTGTAACAGTGTTTGATTCCAAGAGGAGAAGCCTGAAGTTCATGAGTGAGGTTGTTGGGTTGAAAGCAAGAGGGGTGTGGAGTGTGTGGAATTGTGTTTCAACTTTGAATTAAAAAGCTCCTAATTTTCTTGGTCTTCCAACGAGAACCGTGTCCCTTCCTTCATGCTTATATATATGTGCCCTTCGTGTTCGACTTGTTGCTCTTCGCGTCACCCCCCACTCACTCCTCTCCCCTCCTCTCCCGCCAAAACCACCCACCTTCGTCTTCCCCTTCTTCCCTTTAATCGTGACGTCTCAGTTCCATCGTATCTAGCCCTTCTCTGATTCTTTTCTCTCTCCCTCCAGCCTCTGTTATCTCTAACAGAGCATAAAGCCGTCTCCTTTTCTTCGGATTACCACCCTGATTCCTCCCTATCCCTTTTGGTTCCTCTCTCCTCATACAGGTTCTCCAAAATTCTTAATTCTTCCATGCTGCCAGCACCAAGCATCATCACTCCTCACATTTCTTCTTCCAAACAACAACCTTAGCAGCACAGGGGAAGCGAAACAGTCCTCTTCCCTCTCCACACCTCGCTCTCGTCATGTCCCTGCGCTCTAAGCCATCCGAGAGTCTCCAAGAAACATGCACCTCCGCCACCAGAAGAAAAACGCGTCCAAGGCTCCTCAGAATCATACTCACTGATCCCGACGCCACCGATTCTGACTCCGATTCTTCCGCCGATGAAAGCCCGCACGCGTCTTCGAGAGTCAAGCGCCACATCACGCAGATCACCCTCCACTTACCGTCCCCAAATCCTCCTCCTTCCCCCGCTCCCCCCGGCTCCCCTGCCAAATCCAACCCGACCCGGTTCAGAAGACCCGCTGGCGCTTCCTCCTCGCTCCGCCACAGGAGGTTCAGGGGCGTTCGCCAGAGGCCGTGGGGTCGGTGGGCTGCCGAGATCCGGGATCCGAACCGAAGGAAACGGGTCTGGCTTGGGACGTTCGACACGGCGGAGGAGGCCGCCTCGGAGTACGACAGGGCAGCGCTAAAGCTAAAGGGTCCTCACGCGGTTACCAACTTCCCTAACTCTATCATTGTAGAGGATAAGGCGACGCCGATCGCCGCCGCGGATGAAAGTATTGGCACAGAAGGAACGGTATCGTACTCTGAATCGGCGGCGTCGCCCACGTCTGTGCTTCCCTACGATGGCGATTCGTCGGCGTTCAACGATTTCCGTTACGGCGGAGTGTGGATGCGTTCGGATTCGACATAGACGTGCCGCTGAGCCTGCCGGACGCGAACGTGATGCTGTCGAGTCAACCGTTTGGAAAAGAGGAGTTCGGCGAGTTTGACCTCGACGACTTCTTGACGTGGCCCAACTAAATTTTTGGGGCTTCTTCGTCTTTTTGAAAAAAGTCAGGGACTGTGTCGTAATTCCATTCGGCTTCTCGCGATTAAAAGTTTTGTCGTGGTGTTTGATTTGGCGGAGCGCGAAGCAGGAGATTTTTCCCAGCTGAAGCGGCGGTAAAGTTTTGATTCGTATTTTGTAATCATCAGTTTGATAATTAAAACAACTAAATTAAATTAAAATTAAATCAAAGGAATTGGAAAATCAATGATGTCCTTGAATATGAAGCGTATAAATTATAAGCGTTGAATTATTTATTATGTGATGTCGAAAATTTTGGTGTTTGTAAAATTATGCAACTTTGCTGTACTTCGTTTGTTTAAAAATGAACAAATATTTATGAAATTGTAGTAAATTATATGCATTTGGATTCTTAATTTTATAAATCGAATAAAATATCAAACACAAGTAAAAAGACACGTGGTTGAGAGTTAGCTACGTGGCTTAGAACTATAAGTCAACTGTATATAAGCCTCCCGTGGGATTTTTCTATTTCCCGGTGCTTTGCGTTCTTATCCAGCATTCTCCTTTCCTTTAATCATTCTTTATCTTTTTATGCATTAATTAAATTGAAATGACTTCAATAAATTTTGTTTGTGATTACATGAAAAATTCGTGGCTCTATCTATATCTTGTTATGGTGCATAGATATACTATAGAACATACAGATGCATTCATACATAAATTCTTGTAAGATTCATTGTCAGCATTATTTGTTTATTTGACCAAATATTCGTGATTCTCTACATATGTTAAAACTACTTAATATTTTGTATTTTTTTTAAGTTAAATAAAAATATATATTTAATTGTATTCTTTAAAGCTTATTATTTTTCTTATAGATGAATTTAATGGTGAAATAATTCATAAAATATTTCTCTTTTCATTAAAGAAGCGAGTCTCATGATAAGATTCCTCAGTGGGATCTACTGCTATGGGCTACACTACTACTTGTTGGCATGCCGGCAAACGCGCTTAATGGAATTTTAGCGAAAATTTACATGACATCAGAAGAGTCAATGCGAACCTTTTTTTTAAATTCCTGCATCAGCATCTCGTGAGCTAAAAGAAATTTAGAGCCACCAAAATTTTATTAATGGATGCTATTTAAATATGAGAAAAATAATACTATATCATTGAAGGTGGACAAATAATATTTTATCCAAATTTTGTGATCGAAGGTGGATCAAATAGGGTGCGAGAAAAATAATATTTTATCATTGGAAAATAATTAATTTTTTTTGCCACCTGGTTTTTGGGGAGGCCAGCAACAATTATTTAATATTAACACATTGACAGGGAAGGAAAGGATATGATCAAAATAAGTGTCTGAGTAGTGAGTGCCACATACAAGCATAAAAAATGCAATTTGAAATATCTGTGTTCAAAAATCATCGGATCCAATCTTTGATATAGTGTGCGACAAAAGGATGGACTACGACGTTTTATATTTTGTAGCGCAATATTTGATCACCTAAGAAGAGAAGAAAAATCAATGTTACATCATCGTACAATTTTCGTGATATTACAGGATTTTTTTTTTTCCCCTTTCCATCCCTGCCATTACCCAAGCTGGGAGAAATGAAAAGCACAGTTTTACCCGAACGTGAAATTAATTATGTTAAGGCCACTGTGCTTCTCTGAATATCAATTTCAATTACCTCTATAAATGACTTCCTTCGTTGCCCGTTTCATTTTTATCGAGTCGATCACGGTTGTGTGGCCTGTGAAATTGCACTTGGTAAATATATTTTAGTGTTAAATTGACAAATTATCCTTTTGTTTTTGGGCCGACAAGTGCTAATATTGAAATTTTCTGTCTCCCCTAAAACAAATAAAATTAGTGTTATATTGTCTTGCGAAAATTATCATCAACCTCACATGTATGCTTCTAATGCAATGTGACGTGTTACGTCTGGTTTTATCTTCAATGCATACTCGTCAAATCGAAAGCAACATTTAAGCTTTGTAATAATAAAATATCGCAATCCGTTGTTAATAAAATATCCATCACCCATATTACAAAAAAAAAATCCTCAACCACTAATGGTTTTTAATTAAAGGAGTCAAAAAGATACACATGGTGTTTCTTATTATTGTTGTTATATGCATCCTTAAATCAGATTTGATCACTATAAAACTCAATCGAAGGTACATCTCTTGAAAGGATTTTCTTAACTTGCACACGAATTTGAGCAGAATGCGTCGTACTTAAATACTAATATAATTTAGGAAAGATTAATAGAATGAAAAAGAATTGCAAAAAGGGGGTCTAGGTTAAGATATCTCAATCTGGAGAAGGAGATTGGGCCAGGTTAGCAGGATTATGTGAGATCATGCTTGTTATGGCAAGTGGAAGATATTTAGGGTGTGCTGTCTTTTAAAAAGCCTAAAGTTGTAAAAATTGTGTGAATCTTAGATGAGATGATCCCTTAAATCTTGCTCATCAGACATTGATAGGCCACTGTTTCAAGACATGGGCAACAGTAGGCCCCCGGTCCCGCAAATAGGTGGCTGCTTCTCCAACAATAATTTTGGTGGGTGGGCCCCACTACCCCCGTTATTATTATAGCCTTTCAAATGCCCTTGTGCCCCACTCAACTAACAAAGTGGTTACCGGCGGCTCATGCCGCTCCACAGTTCAAATACGTAAAAGGTCACGCCATTGAAAAATATAAAATATTTTTTAAAACATTAAATATTAAAAAAATATAATTTATCTTTAGCATTTTAAAATATGATTAATGTATTTTTTAAAAGTATTCATAATAAATAAATTTTTTATATTTATTTTAAAGTAAAACACTCTATACAAAAATAAATAGAAAAAAATTATTAGTTTAAAAATAATTAAATATTTTATTGAGAGGCGAGATTCAATCATAAAAATTTTACATTTTTTAATAAAAAAAATATTACATCCGTTTAATATTATCAATTACTTTCTCTGGTCCTATTTAAAAGGTAGAGGAAGGATTTTTTTTTTGTCCTATTTATAAATCATCTCATTAAATTTTTATCGTAAATTTTTCATTTGACCTCCATTAAATATTTGCAAGAGAAAATATATTATTAAAATATATATATTAAATAGAGATAAATTTAATAAATTATTAAATTTTTAAATAGAATTATTAGGTTTTAAGATTTTTTTAATTTCAATAAAATATGTTAAAAATGTCTTATAAATGAGATTAGAGAAATATTTCTTAAAGTATTATGTTAAAAAATATAATTTATTTTAGCAAGTCTTTTAAAACATAATTAATAAAATTTTTTAACCAAAAAAATTATTAAATAAGAGTTACTTTTTATCTTTTAGGTTGTGTTTAGGCTTTACTTGCTTTCCTTTTAGTTGCATTGTACTCCCTTCATTAAAAATATACAAGGTATCTTTAATTAATTTCACTTTCAATAAAATAGCTATGTTTTTTTCAATTAATCCTATTTTTTTATATTTAACCTTCTTTAATAAAGTATTTTACTTTAAAATAAATATAAAATAATTTATTTCATAAAAACAATTTTTTTAAAAAATAATGATTATATTTTAAAAGATTATAAATACTTTATATTTTTATGGAGGGGATATAATTTACTTGCTTGTATGATATTAGTGTGTACTCTTTTTTTAATACCAATAAAATAGACTATTTTTCTGTGCAAGGAGTAAGGGCAAACATGTAAATGTAATTATACTGAACGGAGGAAGTGATGGCCCTCAAATCTCAATAGTTGCAACTCTTGTCTTGTCTATCTGTTCAGCTAGTTGGTTCTGGCTCCGTTGAATAGAGATAATTTTATTCTATATAAGTTTTAGATTCATGACTTATGATGAAAAAGATTATATTTGGACAATTATCATCAATTTAGAACGGGGCAGGCTTTTCAGATAAAGTGAAATCAATTTCAGCCATTATGATGGAGGCTCTTGGTCCCGTGCCCTCTTACCTGCTAAGGATTTTAGTGCAGACAAGGTGATCTTTGAGAGTGACTTTCAAATGCTTATCTCTTGTATTACTAAGGGTCAACATGAGACTGTTAATTGGATGAGTAGAGGAATCATTCATAAAAAATGTGTGTGTTACTGTGTCGCATAATCACACTCAAAAATTATTTGTCACTAATGATATGTGCAACTATCTGATCTACCGGTGCCCTGTGTTGGATTAAATTATTTTAAGATGGCATACCCAATTGAGTAGAATTATTTTTAGAGACACATGCATATATTGTTTTTATGTTGTGAATAACAGAGAGAATATGTATATTAATAATCATTTTTCACAATCTTCTGTCTCCCCATTTCGCGTGTGTGAATAAAAAGTTTGTGGCATGTCCCTATCGGGTTGAGCGATTGTATTTACGCACCGCTTTTGTAAGGAATGATTTGCTATGCGTGCCTGTGTTTTGTTGACCAAAAAAAACCCCGGGGGGGGGGGGTTGTTTTCTCATGGCGGGTTGTGTATATTTATACTTATAAAAATGCTTTTCTGTATTAATCATGCTATGCTCTGTGTTATCATAAGTCTTTGCTAGATTCTGTACAAGTTTTATAAGCTTTCCATCAAGTACGATGTTCATTATATTGGTTACAAATGGCTTGTTTTCACGCAACAAAATCTTATTATTTAATCAACTTATAAAATAAGAAAAATTAATCATTTAACCCCTGTGATTTTGACCTAATTATAACTCAATCTCTAAAACTTGACTTGTTATAACTCAATTTCTGAAATTTTAACTTGATTATAAATCAATCCTTAAACTTTACCTCTTACAATTTAGTTTCTGAAATTTCAACTTTTTAAAAATTAGTTCCTATATTAAAAAAAATAAAATTATCAAAATTAAAAATATTTTAAAATTTATTACTGATATCTTAAATTACTAAACTATTTTAATATTTATAAATATTAAACGTTTAAAATATTTTTAGTTTTTATAATTTTATTTTTTTTAAATATAGAGATCAATATTTAAGAAATTGAAATTTTAAAGACTAAATTATAAGAGGTAAAGTTTAGGGACTGATTTACAATTGAGTTAAAACTTTAAAAATTAAGTTATAATTTGTCAAAATTTAAAAATTGAGCCGAAAACAAAACTATAAAAATTAAATAATTAATTTTTTATAAAATAAAATATAGAGAGAAAAGGAAAAGGAGTCTAACAATTTTACATACATTAAACGGGCGTTCGTATGAATTATCGATATGGTGAGTCCCACGAGTCACAAGTCACAAGCTCACGTAAGAATTGAAGTGGGGGAAATAGATGAAAAAGATGTGCAGCCGCCTTTACCCAAGAAAAAAAAAAAAGAATATATAGCCGCCTGACTTCCC